GTAGTTTCGAGGGTTGGGGATGGGTAATGGAAGACGACTGACTGTTTTGGTTGTTAGGTGGGGTTGGCCGGCCAATTTTCGGCGAGATTGAGGGTAGGGGTTAGGGTTTCGGTGAGGTTCGGGGTAGGGAAAGGGTGGCTTGGATTTTGATTTATTAATTTTTTTTAATGTTTTAGAAGTTTTTTTAAAAAAACTTTTGGACCATTCGCGTGTTGACACGTGACAATTAAAAAAAAAACTTTCAGCAGGTCACTATTATTAGATAATAAACCTTAGTTGCGATTAATAGAAAAGAAATAAATCACACATAATAGGGATTATTAAAATATATTTTTCCTTTTTGTGATAAGAATTATTAGATTAATCTTCATATACAAAATATTTTTTAAATACTACTCCGTACTCCATATTAATTTTTTTTTATAACTTTAAAAAAATATTTATTAGTATAAAGATTACTACAAATATAAATAATGTAGACAAAATTTAATCTCGGGTTTTAAATAGTACCCATTAAGACTCTAACTACTTTTATAACTGGCCAAATCAAAGTATGTAGATTATACTTAGGGGTCGTTTGGTTTGCACGGTGGAATCGGAATGGAATAGAGAAAGGGTATCAAAGAGAATGGAATGAATCCCTTTCCATTTAGCATGTTGTTTGTTTTATAAAAAATACAGGGGAATCACCTCCACCATAGCACCACCACATCCACCATAGCAACTCTTTTTCTTCAATTCCCAGCCACCCTACAGTTCAACCACCACCTTGCCGCCCCTCAACCTTCTTCCTTCGACCTCGCCGCCCCTCACCCTCCTTCCTCCAACCTCGCCGCCCCTCACCCTTCGTTCGATCTCTGACCTTCATTTACCGGAAAACTTACCCCCCCCCGTATAACCCTAAAAAACCTTCCCCCTCCCCTCAAAACCGTCGGCCGCCCCTCCCCCCCCCACCCTCGAAACCCTAGCGGCTAGGGTTTCGAGGGTGGGGTGAGGGGCGGCCGACGGTTTTAAGGGGAGGGGGAGGGTTTTATAGGGTTATTCTAGGGTGGGGGGACGTTTTTTCGAGGAGGGGAGATGTTTCCGGGGGGAAGGGGTGGGTGGGGGAGGTGCGCCGTGTTCCGGCGAAGGGTGTGGGAGGTGCGGCGCTTGTCGGCGGAGGGACGTCGTGGTGGCTGGGTGGTGGTTCTGCTGTAGAAGGTGCTAGCTAGGGTGGATATGGTGGCTAGGGAAAGGGAATGGAAAAGTCTAGGGGGGGTGGGGAATCACTTTAGAGGAAAAATGGGTAAAGTCAATAATAAAAGAGGGTAAAGGGAATGATTGATAGTAACAAACAAACAACAACAAAGGGAATAGGGCTTGTTCATTCTCTTTTTCTTTGATTATTACCCCCAACGGAACGGCCCCTTATAAGTAATCATGAACGGTGGTTAAATTTTGATTGCGTTATTTTGACTAGTGGTTAGTCAAAAATTAGCGCAAATGGTAACGGGGTGGAAAATTAAAGAGGAACGCGATAAGATGAAAAATAGAGGAATCAATCAGGTGACGAGTATTTGGATGTGTGTGTGGGTCCCACTTCAACTTGCTGTTGGTGTACATACATCAGACTTGCTTAATGTGGGCTCCACCTGCGCTCTCATCAGCCGTCCCAATGGGCCCCACCTCTCCCCCTCTCAACATCCATCTCTATATGGTTTATGGTAGGACTACATTTATTCGTCAAACTTAGTTTTGTCATTGACTCATCATTTTATCACTTCTTTTTTATTTATTTAACCCATATTATGTTGTCGCTTATTATTTATTTTTCATTCAACTACTAGAATATTACAAAACAAATTATCGTTCTTATATTTTTATAACAAAATCTTAGGTGGGAGTGGGAGTGGGAGTGGGAGTCCTAAGATGAGGTGATTAACGACGAATGTTGAATAAATACATATAAGTAATTTGTTTATTATAAGCTATAAGTTTTTATTTAAAAAAAGATTATCTAAAATGACTCTGAAAGTTTCAAAAATATAACATTTTGACTTACAAAATTAATAGAATCAACTTAGACCTTTCCCCAAACATGTAACAATTATTTATTGTATATTAATGGTGATGATGATTGAGAAAATGCTTGATGTAAAATATACTTGTGCCGTTATGCGTATCATCATCACACAAGTACCATTGATAGCTTCAAATAAGTTTAGATGGAGCTCATAACACTATCAAGTCATCTTACATATCTCATCATACAATCATATTAATTATGGATTGTTACTAATCTTATTATATACAAGAGAACTAACAAGATCGAGAGGTGATTTTTTAAGTTAATAAGTGACCTAGCTACGAAGATCACGAAGAACTATTGATCCTAAACTCCTCACACTTAGATTTTAAATTCAAGATCATTATGTATAGTAATTTTAATTTTGTTACACCTACAAGTCCTCTTTGTTATGCTTTTATTTAGTTTAGCAAAACAATATTACTACATGCACATATTTCACATCCATATGACGATAATATATACTCTGTATTCATTAATTTGAAACAATATAATCTATTTATTAAATTTTATATATGTTCTTTTGAGAGAAGGATGTATATCACATACGCTCTTACCTGTAGGATCTAATTTATGTTGATCACTCTATAAGAAAAAATTTGAACTACTCCCTTCATGGACAATATACTTTTACTAATCCCAACTATGCTATCACTTTACCTGTACCTGTAGTAGTCCCAACCGGTCAACAAGTGACACAAGATTGGTTAAAAAAAATTTAAAAATTGAAAAAAAAAAAAACCACCCATCCCCATGCCAGCAGCCACCCCCCTTCCACCCACGCTAGCTTCACCTCCCTACCCCCCAGCGTCAGCTAACAGCCAGACACCACCTCCCTAGCTCCCTAGCGTCGGTGCCACCAAGACCCACTCCCTCCTAACCTTTGTAACCCTCCCTCATTCAAAAAATTCCTTATAACTCCTCCCCGACCTTCAGAAACACCCAGCCACCCTCCCCCACCACAAGACCCTAGTCTCTAGGGTTTTAGGGTGGGGGAGGGGCTAGGGTTTTGGGGGAGGGACTAGGGGGTGGCTGGGTGTTTCCTCATAAACGTGGTCTCTTTTTATTATCGTGTTTTTCTATTTATTTTACATTGTATAAGAGGGTGAGTTTTCATATCGTTCCATTACGCATATTCGTTATAATACCCTATTAGGCAAAACTAGTGGTAACATGTTGCTGTTAGTTGTTGGGTACAGAGAAACAAGTAGCTATCAACTAGTATTTGGTAAAGGCCAGTTTTCAAAATAGTTGATGATAGTATTAATTTAGTGTTTCGCAAAAGTAGCCATTAATTGTAAGCTACACAATAGAGGCTATATATTTATCTAAAATATAGATTGACATTATTTGTTACTCGATATCTTCGAATGCTACTACATACAAGTATAACGTTTGTGATGATAGAGTATGAAACATATTCCTGGGCCTCAACCATAAGCTTAAGCTTTTGGTTGAGATGGTCCTTTAACATGGTATCGGAGCCAACGTGACATAGAGGTCACGGGTTTGAATCTCATCCACCCCTCCTTTTAAGTGGAATTAATTCGCACCAGGTATGGGTGGGTCTGTGTGGCATCCACATTTCAAACCCAAAGGGCCTTTCATGTGAGGAGGAGTGATAGAGTATGAAACATATTCCTGGGCCTCAACCATAAGTTTAAGCTTTTGGTTGAGATGGTCTCTAACATGTGAAACATTATATATCCAAACGTTTTTTCTATCAGTATCTACTACCTTGCCAAATGTTTCTATTTTTTCGAACTAGTGTTTTTAGTGATTTTGACCTAGGCAAATACTATATCTACTGCCACAAATGCTACCTCCAAACAAGGTCTTAAAATAAAAAAATTTCATCAATCAGTCATTATCTACCTGTACTCGAGCTGCTAAGATCATATAGAGTACCTTATTAGGTCAGCTTCCTAGAGATGGTAATGATGAATCTATTAAAATGAATGTCTTAGAAAGCTTTATTTGCTAAATTAAGTGTCCGGTAGGTTAAATAATGGGCATATAGAACTATTAACCTAAAAACGTTGTTTCAAATTAAAAATATCTTATATATAGTTTACACTGATTAGACTCTTGCATGATTGGTAAAGATATTTTAGTACAAACCTCACCCGATCCACATATCAATATTAAGAGCTTGTTCTGATTTACTGAATTGATTGGAGTTGAACTGAACTGAAAATAAGCTGAAGAGAACAAATCCTAAGGGCATTATACTGATGAAGAATATATAATCAAACTTAGTAGAATGAGTCTCATAATGGCCATAAGTCGTAATATAGTTTCTCATAGAGAAAATATTGATGATCAATGCGAGTATTAAATTTTCAAAAGAGTTATTAAGGGTAAAGCCTACTTATTTAGGCTACAATCTTAATCTCAATAATAAATACTGCCCTATTGGCCACTTTGGGATACAATGCAACTAATTATCATTTAAACCTTTCTTCAAAAAAAGTTATCATTTGAACCATGTAATCATTACACTCATTGATTAAATATCAATTTAGGGATCCTACACTCTTATTTCCTACTCAACATCTCTAAAACCCTTTTATATCAATCATCGTCTCACTAACAATTAATGCTAGTCTTGTACTTTGTAGTTGTGCAGTGACTAAACATAATTTCAAAACTAGAATTGCACAAATATGTGTGCCTTTCCAACCATCAACACTATTAACAATAATTCGTATGCACACGAATAGGATCAAAAAACGTTGGAATATATATAATTTTCTAAATGTAAAAATGACGCTAATTAAGACTATAAATAATGTTATAATTTTAAGCCATCAATTTAGTAGTAAAAAATGGAAAAAGAAAGTCAAGCAATCTAACAAAAGAAGAAAAAATCTAGTAAAATGAAAAAATTCAAAAAAAGGCAAATAAAACCTACAAGACGAGGATATAGTTGAATGATGGTTTAGAAACTATTGGCCTATACACTCTCATGATACAACTGACATAGACAGCAATATTATTAGAGAAGAAGAAGAGGGAGGCGCAAGACTTGAAATTAAATGGACCCCATTTATTCTTTTCTTTTTTTATTTTATTTTATTTAATTTTATTTTATATTTACCAAAAACCCAACCTCCCCATCATATCATTAACTCATTTCTCTCTTCCTCCTCTCTTCATCTAACCCTAACCCACCTCTCTCCCAAAAACACCCATACTCCCCTCATCCTTCCACTTCTCTTCTCAAATCTTCTTCTTCTTCTCTAGCTAATCCATTCGGTTCGGTTTCAGATCGATTATTAATTGTAAATTATTGTTCCTTTCAGAGTTGAGTAGCTAGCTACAATTTTCAACTTCAATTCAAATATTATGGTGAGTTTATTTTAATCTTCTTCTTCTTCAATTCTATGATTCAATAGAGATATAAAAAAAAAAATAAAAAAAAAACACCCTTCGAAAGCTGTAACAAAGAACCAAAGTTTAGCTAGCTAAGCCAGCAAAAAGTTAGATAAACCCAAAAAAAAGTTTGTGAAAAAAGTCTTCTTCTTATTAGCTTATATTGCTTTGATTGATATACTCATATATATTACATACTATTCATCCAACCCATCCGTTGTACTTCCACTAATACAAATTCCTTTCCGCTCCATTTTCTTAACCTTTACACCTCCACTATGTTTGCTAATCACCCACTAATTATACTTGTCAAGATTATTTCTTGCCTTGTTTAATTTCTTATATTATTTGTTACTTTCTACAAAGTACTGTATTTCCTTTATCTTGAGTTCTTTAACAAGTTGATCTAGGTAAGCTTATTGAGTAGTTGTTGGATGAATATGGATCCGATTTCGGCATCGGCACATGGGCACTCACTTCCACCTCCTTTCCATCTCCACCCCCACCAATTCCACCAACTCCAACCTCAGAACAACTCCGAATCCGACCTCTCCCCCCGCCTTGGCGGGGTTGGTAAACGAGAGCGAGACGACGATACCACAAGCACCACCGATAATACCGGCACCGACAACCAAGATTCCAAAGATGGAAGTGGAGATCACCACAATATGATGACGAGGCGGCCGAGGGGGAGACCAGCTGGGTCTAAGAACAAGCCTAAGCCGCCTATCATCATTACTCGAGATAGCGCTAACGCTCTCCGAACCCATGTTATGGAGGTTTCTGATGGTTGTGACATAATGGAAAGTGTTGCTACTTTTGCTCGCCTTCGACAACGAGGTGTATGTATTCTTAGTGGTACTGGGACGGTTGCTAATGTTACTATACGGCAACCGGGTTCGACCTCTAGCGGCAACGGCGGTCCTCCCGCCGTTGTCACGCTTCACGGGAGGTTCGAGATCTTGTCATTGGCGGGATCGTTTCTTCCGCCTCCTGCCCCGCCTGCTGCTACGGGGCTTAGCATATACTTAGCGGGCGGGCAGGGACAAGTTGTGGGTGGTAGTGTGGTTGGGCAATTGTTAGCGTCTGGTCCTGTTGTTATTATGGCTGCTTCTTTTAGCAATGCTGCTTATGAAAGATTGCCATTAGAGGAAGACCAAGAAGGTGGTGGGCCTATGGGAGGAATGCAAGGGGGTGGTGGTCAACTCGGTGGTGGCGGTGGTGGTATGGATCATCAAGGGATGCTGCCGTCAGCTCAACAGTTGCTTGGAAACGATCCAAACGGAGGGGCCGGGTTGTTCCAAGGGATGCCGCCTAATCTGCTTAACTCTGTCCAAATGCCCCCGGAGGGGTATTGGGGTTCTGGCCGACCTCAATTTTAAATATTCCTGAAATATTTATCTGTAATTTGAACCAGAAATGTGACAACTAATTGTGGACGGGGGATGCTGGTTACGTGATGAACGCAAATGCAAGGACGGTGCATTACAATGAATGAATCACCAAGAAAAAGAAAGGTCAGTCAAGTATTTCGCTTGGAGAAAACTCTTTGGTTAATTGTTGGTAGTGCAAGCTAAGTAAGTAGCTAGCAAGAGGTTCATTTTAGGATTTTTTTTTTTTTTTTCTACTTTTCAAATTTTACTTACATTGTAGGTAGAAGATGAGTGCTGATCGATGAGAAAAAACTGTTAATTGCCATGTGTTTTTAATTTTATTTTTGTTTCTTTTTGGGGAGATTTAGGTTTGGTGCACCCATTGCTGCAATTTTTTTCTCCTTACTTTAAAGTTGATGGTAGTTTGTTGGTCATTGAAGTTGGTGTTTAATTATTTTTGTGAGATTGCATGATGCTTTTATTAATTTTTGATTGAGGATGATATATCATTGTACATTGTTATTCAATGGAAATTATTCTTGGTCCAAAGCTCATTTACTCACAATTTCCAACAATAATCAACATAACTTCATTCATCTTAACTAACCAATCCTTTATATTTTTTTTTGTATTCTTCCTCTAACTTTCCTCTTAACAAACTATCTACTTGTATTTGATCATTGAACATTAACTAAACAAGTTGATAAAAAACAAATCACATATTTAAACAACATGACACTCCATCATATGAAACTGTTATCCGTTGTCCCCTATAATATATATAAAATAACACGTACACACCACCACCTCCCACTTCTGCCTGGAATTAGTTGTCATATTACTCGTTTCAGTATTAGCATCGTGACAATTAATGATCCCGGATGGAGCAAGGGGTGAGTAAAAGAAAGTTGTATAGGTACCAACATTCCTTGTTTCATGCATGAATGTAAATCCAAAAAAAAAAAAGGGTAAAAAGAGCTCCGAGAAAAGGGGGGTGGAGTGAAAGAGTGCGTAGAGTAGAGCATTAAAAGCAAAGGAAGAAATGAAATGAATGGAAGTGAGTGAGGAGTAATAGGGTGACTGATAGATAGATTATTCCATTTACGAGAATGAATGAAAAATTAAATTTGAGAAAACATAAAGAAGAGAGAGAAAGAAAGAAAGAGCAGTGGCATGCATAAATGGGTTGTTAGTCGACAAGATGGTGAATGAGGATTGTGGGTGCTGAGTTGCACGTGCACTCGTTACAGTTAAAACAGATCAGAGCTCCTTTTCGAGGTAGTCAGCCTATGCAACCCCTGTAGTAGAAACACCTCCAAAAGGCTCAATTGCTTGCTTCAATCTTAAGTGTTTACCCCACTTTTTCATTTCTTGTTTTTGGCTCTATTCCTATATTGTAAACTGTCCAATCTTCTGGATTTCACGTAGGAACATTGCGGATTTAGGGCCTGTTTTAATTTACTGAACTGAGTTGATGAAATGAATTGTTTACGAGAGAAGGAAAATAGAAACTGAGCTGAACTAAGTTGAATTGAATTAAAATTAAGTTGAAGAGAATAAACCCTTAAACAATATGGCCATATATATTATGGTGTATCCTTATATTAAGGGTCGGGATAGTCTTATATGATATTGTTTATGTGTTTCATTTGTATATATATGTTATTAGGAGATTACAAATTAAAGTTTTTTGTTCAAAATTTAAATATGGAAAAAAAAAAAACTCAATTCTATCATAAGTTATTGCGAGATTGTTTTATGAGTTGAATTGAATTAATAAAAGCTAAATTAATAAAAGACACCCTTAATAATTAAATTAATTAGATGCATGGATTTAATACTAATTTGATATGCTATACCATGTAGTATTGTAAACACATGTGGTTATGTACAAGAGCATGACATTAGGAACAAGATAATGTAAAATATGTTCTATTATCACATAAAATCACATGTTCAATCACATATGTACTTGTATTACTCATTTTATGTACTTGTGTTCTTTTGGTGCACAATAGACATTAAATGGCATTCTTTTACCCGATGTGGTGCATTTGTGTCAATAGTCTATTCATTGATTAACAAAAATAACCTAAATACTGTAAGTTTTATATAGTATATACAACATTATATGACATTCTTATGCCTTATACATAGCATATATTTATAAATCACAATTCAGATTTATCTATAGAAAATTAAGTAGAATAAACTGTCACAGGAATAATGATACGTGTAAAACAAAATTAGTCTGATCAAATTTGGATTGGGAGAGTGCAAAGTATGTATGGAGAAAAAATAAATCAAAGAGATCACATATTTGATGTAAAATTATTAGGTCAAAGTCATATACTGGGTATGATCCAAGTTGATTATTCATCTTTAATTTGATAATATACGGATTGGTTTGATCACCTTTGGTTTTGATAATATTTGATTAGTGTTGTGTTTCCATTAACATGAAAAATGATCTTCAACTTTTGATGTGATATCTCACATAATTAACCACTAACATATCATTAGTAAAATGGCTATCATTCATAACCAAATTAAGTAGATTACCTATATAGATTTGATCTTATGAGCATTAAAAACATTTGATGTATTATGTACATAATTTTTTGGATAAAAACAATTAGTTATATCTCAATAAGCTATTCAATATTGCAAATTAAATGCATGTTTTTATTATTACAAACCCGTTGATAAGAACTACACATCAGTTGATCAATGCCAAGATAAGAATTTTTTTTTTTTTTCGATGAGCTCTATCACCATTGAACTTACAGTTTAATCAGTGCTAATAATGCATGTTGTTGTTAGGTTCATCGTAAGTGTTAGAGGACCAACTCAACCAAAAGCTTAAACTGATGGTTGAGGCCCAGGAATATGTTTTATACTCTATCAGTAACCAAGGTAACGAACGATATTACAAGCACAAAAAACTCAAAAAGTCTACAATGGACAATGGTAGTTCATAGTAATAAACACAGTGAAATTAAAATCTCCTATCAAATCTCATTTAGAGATCATTCTAATAAAACCAATTTGTGATACATCGAATTAGTTTATGAGACGTTATAAGTTAAAGCTCATATCTTTATCTGTTAAGCCCGTTTTGTGTGCGGTCGGCCACACCGTGTGGCCACTTAAAGTAACCCCTGTAACATTGATTAAGTAACCCCTATAATACCGACCGAGTAACCCCTATAACACTGACTGAGTAACTCTATAACCATGACCAAGTAACCCCTTTAATACTGACCAAGTAACCCTCATTACACTTGCAAAGTAACCCCTATAACATTGACTGAGTAACTTCATAACAATGACAAAGTAACCCCTTTAATACTGACCAAGTAACCTCCATTACACTAGCAAAGTAATCCCTATAGTGGCTAGCGCTGACCGGCCAGCCACATATAAGACTTTGTGGTATCCGTTTAAGTGTCTTACAGAACAAACTCACCAGTGTCCGGAGTTATACTTAAAAAGTAACAACGTTCCCATCAAATATGAGTCCACAAACACCCCCTTTGAATGGAACATTTGAACAGTGAAATTTGAGAATAACAAATTAATTTTGTCACTACTAATTGACGATCAATGTGCTTAAGCTTAAGCGAGTTGGCAGTTGAGAATCAAAGGATTGGACGAAAGTTCTTAGAATTCCTAGCCCAAACATACTTCTGCATCTAAAAGAAGACGGGCCCACTCATGAAAAACGGTCCATTACAAAATCCATTAGAACGAGTTTGATTAAAATTAAAAATCTTGATAGTGCCAATAAACATTGTTTATTTCCTTCATCTTTTCTTGAAAACTAAAATCAAGAGAACTTTCTATTTAAGAATTAAAAAAAGTTATAGAGCATTAAGAAAAAGTCATTGTTCTTAAGCATTTATAGGGACAAATTGTATTGTTTTATTTTAAAAGAAACAATTACTTTTTTTCTTTTTTTTTTAATGTCTTTTAGTAAAATAATAACAAAAGAATTATGGGAAAAAAAACGTGAGTCAAATGAAGTGGCAAATAAATTTTATTAATCATGTAAAGATTAGCTTTTCTGAAATGCAAATTTGAGAACAAAATTTTGCACTATGGAGATTGTGAACAGGAACGAAAAAAAAGGTTTCGAAGAATTCAAGTAAATTATATGCAAGACGTTAAACAAATTTTGTTGCTCACGATGACACGATTTAACTGAGTACACCTAAATTATAACAAGATCATGGAGTCAAATTCTTTGTATCACCTACAATAATCATCAACTTCATACTTCATATGCTTCATCTCTCTTTGATTGCCTCTTTAAGTTTCCATTATCTTATTTTCTAGGCAATTTTCTCTAGTCATTTCTAAATGTAACACACAAATGATACAAAGTACATTCTATATCACCTTATACCATTCAAACATATAAGTAACTGTACAATTTAATTGGCCCAAGCAAAACATAGTACAACTCTATCACATAACATAGGTTATACTACTAACTAAAATCATGACTACAAACCTCAATCAATGTTGGAGAAGTCAGGTTCAGGAGGCTTCTGCAACGCCAAGCCGGTGGTGTTGTTCCCACTACGAAGTCTATGGACTCCACGAAGAGCGTTCCTAGCAAACCTTGAGGCAAAGATGGTAGCACCAAGGCTAGAGCCACTTTCGTCACCCTTGGCTCTACGCTTCTTACTTGACCTGTTTCCATGTTCTAAATAATCATTATAATCCTCTTCCTCCCCTTCTTCTAATCGTCGAAGCTCATCTATCTTCCTCCTCATGTGGCGTCTCCAGGCAGCTTGTATAAAGCAAGCTGCCCAAGTCCGCCATTGCTGAGAGTAGAACCGGAAGGTGTGCTGCACCTGTTTACTGTGAAGTCTTCGAAACTGCCCTGCAACAAATTTCAGCTCCTCTGCTCTTAAAGCAAAGGCCTCTACTTCTGTGAGAGCTTTCACAGTTCTTGTTGACAGTGGTAAATTTATGCTGGATTTCGGGTCTAAGGCCCATGTTAAAAGCTCTTCGCCACAAAAGTCTCCTTCCTTTAACAATCCTCGGTTGTAAAATCCACTTCTTCCACCATCTGTTGTCACACTTTCTAGGTGTCCCCTTATGATGAAGATCATTTCGTCGACTGGATCTCCTTCTCTGACAATGAAGGTGTTTTCGGTGTATAAGCTAGGCTTCAGTCGCTCACATATGGCATCGAGCAGTCGTTCATCCATATTTGCAAATAAAGGAACCTAAAGATACCAAGCACAATTGAAATACATATTAAGTTGAAGTTAGAACCACCAAAATTCAAAGAAAACATTCTGACAATTAGTATAGTTGACAGTTCAGACACTTACTCTTCTGACTAGATTTAAACAGAGATGGCGTTTGATGTCCCTCCTAAGATCTTTTGGTAGACTCTGAACCAAGCTCTCTTCATCAACTCCTCGTGTTTCTAACCACTTGTATTGGTTATATCGTCTTACTCGTTCCCTAAGAACTTGTGGCAGTAAACGATGATGCATCCATTGCTCTGAATCGCGCCTCTTTATTCTCAT